GGAAACGTCAACTGGGAGATGTTCAAATCTGAATTGGGAAGGGAGGCCTATATGACCAGTGCTGAAAACTTAGCGACACTCCCGGGTAAAGAGCAGCTAGAAAGCCTGCACGGATAGATCTGCATTGCTATGGACAAGGCGACAAAAAGGTTTGTTAAAGGTAAGGATAAAAGAGCAGCCTGGTTGACCGAGCAACTAAAAGATTTGGACGGAAACGAGAGGTGCAGGTTCGAGTACCAAGGCTTGCTCAGACATTATAAAAAGGCCATCAAGGGGACAAAGGTCTTATGGTGGAAGAATTTTGTCCGGTTTGTTGGCAATGCAGTTCCGTGGGATGCAGTTTATAAGCTCTGTAGCAGTGAAAAGAACAAGGACTGGTAGGCGTATGGGACGGTGATAGGAAAACGGAGACTTGCAGGGATACGGTGGAGAGTTTTTCCCGTGAACTATGAATTGTATGAAGGGGTTAAGAGAGTAAATTATGATGAGGAAGAAGAAGTCGCCGGGAATGGATGGTGTGACGCCTGAAATGATGGCGGCTGTATGGAAGACTGTTCCGGAGTATGTGTTGGAGGTGTTTAATGCATGTATGGGGGAAACATGAGTTTCGGACGAATGGAAGGTAGCGCGACTGGTCACCTCTTCAAGGGCATGGATAAGGATAGGTCATTACGGAGGGCATATAGACCTATCTGCCTTTTGAGTGTGATGGGAAAAGTGTTTGAGAGAGTACTGGTGAGGAGATTGGCGAGGGTACTTGAAAGAAGAAAGTCAAGGGCTCAGTTCGGATTAGTGAAAGGATTGGGAATACGGGATATGTGAATAAGAGTGAAACAGGTTGTGGAGTGGTCGGAAAAGAAGTACGTATTGAGAATTTTTGTTGATTTTAAAGAAGTGTTTGATAATAATCTGAGCTGGAATGCGGTGTTGAGTAAATTGATGGAGGTTGGGTGTAAGGAGATCAAAGTTTGGGCGAGTTATTTTAGAGATCGGGAAGTGTGTGTGGTAGGAGGGGTAAATGGGGTGGCAAGGAAGGTGATGATGGATGGGTTGTTGGAAGAGATTGGAAGAAGGGGGATATCGTGTGTGGCGTATGCGGATGTTCTGTTGTATATGATTGAGGCGGATAATAGGAAGGAAATTGAGGATGTGGGAACGGAAGTGGTGGAAGTGGTGGTTGAGAGAAAACGGTTATGTTGCTTCTGAAGGGATCGTTGTCTGACTCAAGACCGCCGAATGTGAGGGTTCAGGATAAGCGTGTGAAGTATGTGAAAGAGGTGAAGTATCTGGGTATAAGAGTTAGTGAGCGTATGAATTTTAGGCCGCAAGTCAAAAGTCTGAGAGTTAGGGTGATCGGAGTGATGGGGAAATTGAGGCGCGTATTGAGGAAAGAATGGGGTCTGAATAAACGAACGGTACGAGTGATATATAAAGGATTGGTGGTTGGGTGTGCTTCGTTTGGTGTGGGGGTATGGTATGATGTGTTTAGGTTTGGATATACGAGGGAGTTGGTGAACAGGTGTCAAAGGAGCGTGTTGTATGTGTGCAAGGTGTTTTGTAGGACAGTGAGAGGAGTGATGTTTAGGGCGAAAAGGGGAGTGAGTCTAGGAGAATTGGGATGGCTGCAAATTAGGTTAGAAAAGGGAGAGAATCTGGAGAAAAAGGGTGTGCTGGATGCGAAACTATGGGAGATCTGGCAAAGAAGATGGGATATGAGCGAAGAGGGTACAGTGACTCATGATTTTGTTTCCGAGTGTGAGGTTTGCGAGTAAGAATGTTTGGTTGGAGCCGGGAATGTTTTGATTGTTTCTGCTGACGGGGCCTGGGAGTATGAATGAGTTTTTGAATAAAAGAGTAGTGAGTCATATGGATTTGTATGGTTGCAGTAGGGTGGAGAATATTCCGCATATTGGTTTCGAGTGTGGATTATATGATGAGGAAAGAAGGAGTTGTGAATGGTCAGGATGGATGGAAGAGAGAAAAGACAATTTGAGTGGTTGTTGGAATCAAAGGAGATGTATGAGAGATTAACGGCATTTGCGGAAAGGGTCTTTAAAAAAAAGAGAAGGATGATAGAGGGTGTGACGGAGTGAGGTATGGGGGTGGACGTGATGGATGATGAGAGAATGAAGGAAAAGTGAAGTCGGTGCCGGTGACGTATGAAGATACAATTACCGGCAGTATAATATATAAATGGAATATGTGTGTGTCTTAAGATCTAATGAATAGGTATATCTAGCACAGAGTTTTGATCTCTACGTATCTTTCCTGTTGAGTTGATTGCAAAATTTCCTTATTAAAAATATGTTAATAATTTGGTAGTTAAAGTTAGCTTGAAATCTGTTATCACGTTAATAACGATAAATTACTATTTTTGTGAGGTTCAGATATTTCCATTGTTTATAAGTACATATCTGTGTAGAAACTACCTGTCTCCTTTGCGGTTTTATTATACCGATATATCCATATCCATTTCTTGTTCCGGATGATACATCGCTCGTAATAATGATCAAAAATAGGTACATTTATGCCTTGAGAAATGTCAGCAATACGTACTTACGCTTATGCGATGCAGATATAGTGTCGGAATGGATTGGTGCTACATTTACAAAAAATATTGATCATGGTATTATCATAAGTGATCATTGCTTACGTCTGCAACCAAAACATGCTTTTAGTATTAATTAAAACAATTATGTCAGGTTTCAGATTCAGGTATCGAAGTAGATTAACATTTTTCATGGAAGGAACGTATGAAGAAACGATAAAGTTGATGGTTTTGCCTTATCTAGCGGAAAGAATGGTGTTATTGTGAATAATTGCCCAATATGTTACTAGGATGTCTGCAAACAATGTCAAAGGCAGTTTTCTGCTCTGGTGTAATTCCTGGTTATTGATTTTTGTTTTACGAAAACATTGTCAAACAACAATTTTTGCATCGTCAAATGATGATTAATTAGGTAATATTTGGTGACTGCTATAGGATAAATATAATAACTAACGGTACAATTTTCATAAAGAAAAGAGACTATTTCTTACGCTTCTAACATCGTCGCAGAAAATACCTAAATTTAATTTTTGTTGGTACTCGTAAACGTAAGAACTAATTGGAACTTTTATATAGATAGCCGTGACCTTAACGGATTTTATATTTTATTTTTTCAAATTTCTTTATATCGTAGCTAAGATAATTTTTTAAAAGATTTCTTGTTACTCCTATGGTATAAATATTTTAAGTTGAGTTTCTATGCCTTATCAACGAGAATTTTTTTTTTTAGGTCTAACCATTTATTTTCAGTCTTGTGTTCACGAAGATATTTTTTTTACTAATATTCTTAGTGTTGTGAAATATATGGCTTCAGTTACGATAGCTAATAAAATATATAAATAATATTTTAAAAAACTAAAAAAACACGCTTTTATTGCTAATCGAACTAAAAACTAGAAAATAATTTTTAATGACAGAGTTTAATATTACAGTAGTAGAAGATCAAACAATCAATCGTAATAAATCACCTCAAATTAAAATTATAATAAAATTTAAGTTTTTAACAGAATAATTCAATTCAGAGTAAAAAGCGTGGGGTGCTTGATATTTTAAATATTACAATCATTCTATTGGCAACTATCTATGAGAGGATAGTTATGAACCGCAGTAAAATGCACCCCACGCTTTTTACTCTGAATTGAATTATTCTGTTAAAAACTTAAATTTTATTATAATTTTAATTTGAGGTGATTTATTACGATTGATTGTTTGACCTTCTACTACTGTAATATTAAACTCTGTCATTAAAAATTATTTTCTAGTTTTTAGTTCGATTAGCAATAAAAGCGTGTTTTTTTAGTTTTTTAAACTATTATTTATTTTTCATTTTTTAGTCTGCGACAAATTCATAAATTGGGGAATTAATTACTTATTTAGATTTTTCTAGAAAGAACCACTCAGTGGTCTCCGTAGGATCGAGGATCCTGGCGGTCCTAATAAGGATAATGGGAAACTGTTATCAAATTATTGCATTGTCATCGATCCTTGAGACGTGTGCAAAGTTTCAAGATGATCAGACTTTTAGAAACCGATGAAAATTAAGCTCAAAGATTCCGTTACATACATACATAGATACAACCCAAGCTAATAAAAGCGTGATAAAAATGGGACAGAATTGGTTTCTCGTGACCAGTTTACAATAGAGCAAAATGAATGGTAATAGTTTTTTATTGTCAGGTATTGTATGTAAACGAAGGATGGAGATTTGTATCTATGTTTGATAAAAAAATATATTTATCTTTCTCCACTGAGTTGCGTATTTGAACTGTCCATGTCTAACCTTATTTGTTTTACAAACTTTCCGCATATTACAAGGCTCAGGTAGGTTTATTCATATTACAACACAAACCATAATCTATTCTTAAAATATTGCAACACAGGTGTTAAGAACACCCGACTACAATTTTCTAGTAAATTTTTGCAATATAATAATCCACATAAGTGGAATAACTTGGCACTGTCCCATAAGAACTTCAAAAATAAAATATGTTTGTGAAACCTACAATGAGGTCAATCAAGACTGCATTAAAAACAATCAGTTGTAACAGAAAATAATTTTATTTTATGTTGTTAAAAAGTTGTAAAACTTTGATCTTTGAGGTTTTTTTTTATCTGTATGAATTAGTGAGATATCTAGAAGCAACACCTCCTTGTGGGCTCACCTTATGTAATTTGAAAAACTTCCCTTAATATTAATAAATGAAAACCAGGAGAAACTAAGCTTGCAAAAACCGTTAATTTAAAAATGTATATTTTAATTCAAACTCACTCTGAATATTGACGATATCGCTGCGTAATAAGAACCAGACCACTGCCTAATGGTTGAACCACAATGAAAAATATACATACTCTAATGGAAAACAGGAAAAACTTGCGGTCGATGGTTACAGGTTGAGTGAATGACTGTTCGGCTACTTTTTTAAATTGCAAAGTAAAACTGGATTTAACTTACCCGTCGTTGTCGGAATTGAATTCATATTTCTTGCTAACAATTCGTCTGAAACTTTTCCCGTAGAAACATCGTCCGAAGTCGAGGATTTATGTTGGTCCGTCCGAAGCAGACCTTCGGTGGCGTTCACTTTTTCTTCCGTTACATTTAAGTTTAATTTTTTACCACTTTCCCTGACTGAATTACCGGATGACGTAATCAGGTTATCGCTGCTGATTCCTTCGTCTCTTATCCTTTCAGCGATATTAGGCTTCTTGTAGCTGGCCTGGATTTGAGTTTCGATAATTACTTTTCCTGTCATGTTGTTGATATTAGATATTAAAGTTGGCAATGTAGTATTTAATACGTCCGGAGTTTCGGCCGGGGCGCAAACTTTCTGTCCTTGACATTCTGGAAATAGTTTTTTGTTCCGCACTTCGTCCGCTTTTCCATCAATTTTATCTCTCGCAATTGATTTATTTCCAAGGACTCTGGCGTTATCCTGCCTTAATGTGACACCACTCGAGTCCATTATCCTTCCGGATTCTGGTGTTGTGTAATTAACAAAGTTTGTTTTCATATCGAGATTCGTCGCTGCTGAAGCGATCGCCAAGGTCACCAAAAGGAACGATAACATCTTCGAAAGCTATTAAGTCCTAAGAACAATTTCCTCTAGGAGCCGTGCGAAACTCATGACCTGAAACAAAGCAAGATTTGTTAAGAGAAACACTGCCAAGTATCCTAGGGCTTCTAAAAGTTAAGTAAAAATGGAAATTTACTTGGAAAATGAGACAAACGGTAAAATTATTTTGTAATGATGTTTACTGAGACGTAGTGAAAACAATCGAGAAAGGTCAACGCAGTTCAGAGCTGAAAAAAAATGCCTGCCGCTGAAATTCTATAATGTGTGTTTGGGTTCGTAAGGAGCTATCATAACACAACTGGATTATATTGACATGATTAAATCATCGCTGTCTTTAATGTAATGTTGGCTTCGTGACCGTCATCAGATTACGTGTTTTAACCCTTCCTTTGAAACCGATAGTTTCTTAATAGAATGAAAACATAATATTTCACAGTGGATAGTATCAGATATTACAAACAAACAGAAACAAAGCAAAGTATCGTTAATACACCCCGTTTTATTTTTTTATTTAAGTAATTAAACTAAAAGTCTTGCGTACATGTAACCATCATGCAGGTGTTCTGGGCGAAATGAACTATTCTCGGCTACAGTTACTCAGATAATCACGTATAAAACTGGCGCCCGAGCCAGAACTCTGAGTTACATTATAAATCGGATAAGACAAATTACATCTCACATCCGGAATGTCATAAATTATAAATGTAGAATAAGTGGCTTTATGCCATGACATCTGCGACTAGAAGCTACACTGCAAGCCGGCCGCTCCATACTGACCTACTTGACCGTCACGTAAATTTTTAATAGTTTTTGCAGGAACCCGAAGTGCGCCGACAGCGTTTCATCCAGCTGTGTTGTCTGTATACCGTTTTTGTAACCAGTTTTCTGATAAGTGATAATGTATTTGCCGAAGGGTCGCATGCGTTTATGGAGCAATGTTCACAATTTGCCGTTGGGAAATTACATAAATAAATTAGCAATTCTACCGACTAAGCGCTGGTCCGAGTTGTAATTTCGCATTGTTGCGAGTTGCTACATTTACGCAAATGACAGGTGGGCATCAATCAACCACCAGGGTTGCAACTTCGATAATTTGTAATTAACTTTTCTTTTCGCCGCAAGCAGGAATTACGAACAGGCAAAGCGCAGGGTAATATTAATTTTATTGTTTAATTTTTTGGCCAACACAATAGAATCGAAAACGAGCTCGTTTGTTAGTGTTACGTCATAGCATTTTTAGGGCACAGATGAGGCAAAAGCAGGATAACGTGGTGTTGTATGTGCTATATTATTTATCATTTGTTTTGTGTTGATATATTTTTTTTAGTTTTTACTCAAATCAGGAGTTTCGAGGAAATAAGTGAGCTTAATTCTGTATAACTAAATCTTGAAAACAGTTTTGTTAACTCTGTGTACGGTATTTGATTATCTGTTGGTGCTGGCTCTCATCTGTTGATGTAGATTTCAGTTCGAAATATCAGCTTGTTGGTGACTTTAGAACAACAGATCGATGAAACCCACTAATACGAAATCATAGTCACGTCTGACGTATGTCGTCTGTCACCATAACACTGTGAGCTGGTTGTTATCATTTTTATCGAGGAGACAACAGTGAATTGGAAATTTCAAATCTAATCCTCCTAGTTTCCATGTAACTTCAGGTGTGCCACATTGCAGTGCTATGCTTTGTCTTATTTTTTCTAATGATCTGTAATTTAGCTTCGAATTTTCGAATTTTCTACTCGATGTAATTGATTTCAAGAAAGTTAACTGTGTTGAGAAAACAATTAAACTGCAATCCGATTTGGACAGTTTGTAGGTATAGTGCGCAAAGAATCGTTTGTATCTAAATATCAATAAGTGCTATTGGATTTAGTTCATTTTTAAGAGTCATTATACAGGGTGTCTCAGAAATAAGTACATTAATTTTAATCAGTTATAGAGCTCATTGACCTCAACAACTTTTTTTAGTAGAGTTTTGTCAAGAACTTTTTAAATATCAAGTTAAAAATTGTTAAAGTTATATCCCAATTAAGGTTACCCGCCCATGGATCCTCAGTCACCCATGGACACTAATAATTATTATAATTAATAATTTATGGTCAAAAACAGTTACTAGGATACGTATTTTCCTAATCTGTTAGTTTCAATAACTGAACTTTCTGGTCCTGAAAGGGGTACATTTGTTCTCTGAGTATCCTCCAAATACTGCTCTCCGATACATCACACTAGACAGTGATACGTGCTAGTGCCCGGTCGAGCTTCGACACTCTTCAAAACAGCCTCTTCAATATTACCAATTCTATTACTACGTAACTTACCCCGATCCTGAGGTGCAGGTTTAAAAGATCCGTACTCTCGAAAATGCTGCAACGTTCTTAAAAATGCGCACATTTGGCAGACGACGATTTGGGAGGTTTTCTGAAAAAATTCACTGGGCGCGAGTGCCGTTTCCCCGAGCTTCACCGTGCGTTAAAACGATATCGGCGCATTCCAGATTTGAAAACAAAGCCATTTCAACACATATAAATTAGAAATCTGTGCCAAAAAAACTTCAAAGATACAACGTTTAATAAAAACATTGACATAAAAATGATTGTCAGTGTCAAAACGCTTGCTAGGGTACCTTCTTCATTGTTGTAGTGTTGTTATTATTTAAGTTATTATTTAAGGTGAACATAGACGGCTCGTAAATATATGGGTGGGAAAATTCGAAATTCGACATGAGTTTTCGAAAAAATGCTAGATAAAAAAGTTGTTCCGTTTCACGAGTTCTGTTGCTGGTTAAAATTAATGTACTTATTTCTGAGACACCCTGTATAGATAAACTATAAACTCTTCGTGTGAGTGTGAGCCCGTAGCGGTCTGGTGGTTTACAGTGTATTACAATGGTGATTTTTTAAAAAATTAAGTGTCCAAGGAGGTGTACTGTTCCATTTTCAAATGACCGTTCTGGCTTATATTTTAGTATTCGTCTTATAGAATCGTTACTTACAGACGGATTTAGAATAACCTGATTTATCTTATCGCACAGTTTCTTGTGTATGTTTTTTTTCTTTTTCTTTCTCCATTCGTTCACCGGGTTGCAAGGAGTGACGAATATGTCAACTGTCGGAAGGAATGAGGTGGAAACTACCACATTGGATGTGCAAATCTCAGTAAATCCGCTTATAATTTTCTAAAAGATACTGGTCTGATTAAAACTTAGGACTGCGGCTTAAGTAGCCCTTTTACACTCACATCGGATGATAAAAACAAAACAGAGTTTTCTGGCTCGCCATGAGATGTCCTAAATGAAGATATCCAGCAAAATCTTAATAATAATAATAATAATTTGTATGCTGTAATTCTAGAATCTCGAAAGTTGTTCTGTTAATTTAATCAATGCATATCATTACTTGGTCTTAGTACCCGTAATGATAGAAGTCTTGCCTGAATGCCGGTCATTTCCGGGTCAGTGGTGGGTCTTAATAATAATAATAAATTTATTTATTACCCAGCAGAAATTTTCCATTAACAGGGTAATTACAAGTTAATTAATGTTAAACTAAACTAAGAGTACTAAAAAATAAAATACTACTAAAATAATCAAATACAACCGCAGTTAATTAATTAATTTAGAAATTAAGTTAAATTCGACATACAGTGGGCGGATGTGTAACAATATGGAAATAAATTAACATTCGCTTTTAAGCAATTGAATCAAAATAACCCCTGGCAAAATTAACAATGGAACCAAGACTATCATTGTATAAATCACAATTTTGAGAAATTTTATTAAAGTTCTGACACATTACATTAATAGGTGATTTCATACCAAGATTGGTTCTGTAGTGTCTAAGTTTGAACATACTCTTGTCCCGTGTATAAAATGAAGGTACAAAGAACTGTATTAGAAATAAAAGATATGGACAATCAATTCTATTACGACACAATTTAACTACAAAACATATGCTAGCAATTAACCTTCTACAGTGCAGTGACTGAATCCCGAAACGTTCCAGTAAATATTTTTGATTAGTACCACGACTGGGATAGATATTATCAGTTCTAAAACACAATAATTTTAAAAAACTCCTTTGAACCTTTTCTAAGTTGATTTTTTGATATATGTAGTATGGGGACCAAATAATGTTAGCATATTCTAATTTGGATCTAACTAACGAAAAATACAGGATTTTTAACACGGGCACACTATGGAAATCTCGGGAGTTACGTACTATAAAACCAAGAGTTCTTAAAGCTGCATTAGTTATGTAACACAAGTGATCAATGAATGACAATTTCTGATCAAAAATTACTCCAAGATCCTTAAATGTGGAACATCTGTGCAGTTGAACGGTGTTAACGCTATAATCAAAAATAATTTTATTCTCATTCCTGGTAAAGGAAATCACTTTACATTTTGCTAGATTTAATTTTAGATTATTGTTCTCACTCCATTTGTAAATTTGGTTAATGTCAGATTGAAGTTGTAGGCAGTCCTCCCTACTTGACAAAAAAAATTCTAAAAATTTTTAAGTCGTCTGCATATAAAAGGCACTGCGAATCGACAAATAAATCAACAACATCATTGATATAAATATGGAATAAAAGTGGCCCCAATATCGATCCTTGAGGCACACCAGTATTAGCTATGTACTTATCCGAGAGGTAACCGCCAAGGGATACGTAGTTAGTTCTATGATCAAGATATGATTTAAAAAAATTTAATAATGTTTTCGAAAAGCCAAGACTTGACATTTTAGAGAGCAATATGTCATGCTGAACACAATCGAACGCTTTTGAGAAGTCGGTGTATATAACATCAACTTGTCGTCTCTTATCAAGCGATTCCGATAGAAATTGCGAGATACAAGCCAAGTTTGATATTGTCGATCTATTGGTCATGAATCCATGTTGGGATGTAGTTATTAAATTTTTTATTTTAGGAAACACGCGATTACGAATCACACTTTCGAACACCTTGGATAAATTTGATAATAACGAAATTGGTCGATAATTTTTTATATTTGACACATCACCATTTTTAAAAATTGGGCAAACTCTTGCAT